TATATATATATATATTATTAACAAAATAAATAATAGTCCACTTGAAATATTTCAGAAGATTTTTATGAATTTTTTTCAAAATATAAGTATATCCAGGAAGTCAGAGTTTTTGAACTATTCATCTTCTTACAATATTTGCGCAGTATTTCTAAAATATTTTCATAAAATATTTTAAAACGTTTTACAAATGTTTACAAATATTTCAGAAATATATCAAACAATGATTCATATAAATATTTCATGCCGTGTGGGAATAATGAAAAAAGCATTGGAAAAGCATTAAGGAACGAAAGACTGGATATGTCGTATTGAAAAGGCGTTTTAGATTTACGAGATCAATCAAACGGATTAACTGAGATAACGAAGGATCGATGGATCGATGGACTGATCGACGGAGTCTTTTATATTTACTATTCTAATCTTGTGCCGTCTCTTTTTTTCTGTTTCTCTCGCATTTCTCTCCACGCAACAGACCCGCATCGCCGCCGATCTAATAGAGCTACGCAACAAGAGCGTGTTCGCGTTTCTAATGTTCAATGCGTTGTTCGTTCTGATCGTATTCTTGCTACAGCTGAATAAGGATCAGCTGCACGTTGTCTGGCCGCTCGGCGTCAAGACCAATATCACCTACGTCGAGGAGACCTCGGAGGTATCCGATGATCAAGCATCAGGGGAAAGGATTAAGTCGGTGCCATGGTGGTGTTCTATACACACGGTGTTAAAACCGCCCTCGATATGCTCGGATGATCATTTTTGAACATTTTCCTTTATTAAGGCTCCTGACTAGTTAGCATGCATTCAAAATCAGTCGGCGACCTGGCAAAATGTGGCGAAATCGATAGCTACACACACAAGCCATTTATTTGCTTAATTGTGGAAATGTAACGTGTCTCGTACTTAAGAAAATGGGCAGAACTATAGTTATCCTGGAATTTTATAGATAAAAGCGCATATTTCATTCATTTCAACAGCTGTTCAAACCGTGTGTTTCTGTCCGAAATTAGGCTTACTTTATCTACCTTTTACGACTATTTATTGACTATTAAGGGAGAAAAGAACAATTTCTGCCTATTTTTAAAGCAATTTTGTCATTTAAATTTATCCAAATTGTCTTTATTTACAAATGGCTTGCAACATAAATTAACGTGTCATTTCTCAACATGACCGCCGCAATTAGACAGGAGGAGCCTTAAGATTAAATTTCGCAAATAAAACTTGTCAAAATTACCAAATATTTAATATAAGAAATTAATTAAATTATCTTCCTAATATCTTCCTTATTATATAATCCTTATTATATTATTATTTTTAAAAATTATAATTGTTAATATAATTATCAACAAGTAATTAATTAGTTAATTAATCAAAGATAATTAATAAAAATCGTAATAATAATAATAATAAAAGTTTGCTAAAAATTATGTTGCGCATTTTGAAAATATTTTATTGATTCTTTATTTTGAATTTTGAATTTTTGAATTTGAATCTCTAGGCTTTGAATTTTAAGAAAATTTGGAGTGTCTCGAAATTATCAATTTATTGGATTATCTGAGTCTCGAAATTATCAATTTATTGGATTACCAGAGCATCCCAACGCGTCGAGGGCGAGTACTGTACCTCGGTGATGATTGCACTGATTCAATATATACATACATTGTTGTGTCATTAACTCAACTGACTCGTTTGACAGCACGTGGAAAGTCTCCGATTAATATTCTTACGCACAGGTACTTCACATGGGTCGGATGGAATGGCGTGGGAGATGATTTCTAGTGATCCTGACTAGAAATAACCAGAGATTAATGTCACAATAACATCTTTCCGTTTACCTCTTCTCACCAAAATGATACGAGATCGATTCATGAAATTAAATTAATCCTTATTAATTTAATTACATATTGATGTAAAAGTAGAGGACATCGAGAGACTTATTTATCTCAAAAGAATTAAAGCTAATAATTTTTGAGCAAAAATAATTCTTCAATTCTCGATTTTGTAAAAAAAATAATTTTATTTGCTTTATTCTATATAATATATTCTATATCTTATTCTACCATATATGATATTTAAAAATTATTTATTTTATTTTATCATCTAAATTGAATAATGCCTAAAAATTATTAGTAATAATTATTATTACGTGAAAATAATTAAACATTGACATTACATTTCTAATATAAATTTAAGTATCATTAAAAAACTAATATTAATTCACAATTAAAATTATTAATTATTAAAAATTTAACTGAGTAGTACTAAAGAGAATGAATTTGTCTCTCTATGTAAGAGTCTTAGGATCGCAGAGACTCTACAAAGCCTCCTGGACTTATAGAGCCTCAGATCTGCATTTCTTTTCTCGTTGTATCTAACTTTGACCATGCACCATACTGTTAGTTGTGGCAGCGGACGAGCACCACTAACGTACGCGTAACGCGATGGTTGCTTTCAGTGTCTTCGCATCGAGGATTCAACCGAGCACGTCTTAAGTTGTTCATAAGTCTATATATGCGCGTGTACATATTTTGTATATATATGTACATAAGTGTGTTAATCTTAATACGCACGAAAACCATTGATGATTACAGAATATTAACTGCTAACGACCTGTCCTTATATTTAATTGTTTTTAATCGAACACGCACTCACCAAGAAACAATTTCTGATGGCAATCGATCGATTATTACTGTTTTTTCGAATATAATTTTAAGTAAAGTTTTCTTACAAATCGCGAAAAAATAATTGTAAAATTTAAAATCAGCTCAGATTAATTTAAATTAGCTTATTTTAATTTTTTTAAATTAATTTAATTAAATTTAAAAAATTAGAATTTAATTAAAATAACACAATTGACAATTTCTTTTAAATTATCAAAAACCGCTGATTTGATTAACTATTATTAAAATTTAAGTTGTTATTAAAGTTACTATCGATAATATTACATTAATAAGTTAAAATTTTAAAGTTTTTTGGAGATTAAATAAAAAAAAGTCTTTGTTTTTAAAAAGTAAGTTAAATAAGTAGATGTATCTACTTGATTTCGATTACCACGGGCGTTGCTTCTCAAAAATAATGCTTAATCGCGTATCGCAACGTATTCTACACACGTGTGATTTTTCAGGTGCACATCTCGAAGGAGTATCTACAACTCGAGCCAATCGGTCTCGTATTTGTCTTCTTCTTCGCATTGATATTGGTTATACAGTTCACTGCGATGTTATTCCATCGATTCGGAACACTGGCCCACATTCTGGCCAGCACCAGCTTAGATTGTTACAAGAAGGTGCGTTTACATTTCTTATAAAATTATACGCGTTGCAAATGAGTTTGTCGTTTCAACTTAAAATTAGTAAAAATGACTTCTTGTTGTAATAACTTGATACTTTTTGAGCTGTTTCGTGAATGCTTAATGATATTCATAGACGAAGGATCTCTCCGAGGAAGCCTTGTTATCGAAACACGCAGTTGATATAGTGAGAGATCTCCAAAGGCTGGACGGAATAGAAGGTGATTACGAGGAGGGCAGCGGTAGCGGGCCCGGTAGACGAAAAACGATCCGGAATCTGGAGAAGAGTCGTAGAAAGACGCAGGCGATCAACACGCTCGATGTGGCCTTCAGGCAACGTTTCTTCAGCATGAATGAGGGCGCAGGTAAGCAAAAGAAGAATGACCCCCAAAACAAAGATAAAATAAAATTTTAAAAATATTTCAAATATATATTAATATATTAATACTTAACCTTTTGAAGAAAGGGAGCTTTCTAACAAAAATCTTGAAGAAAAATTTGTTTTCTAAGCAAGTTTTCGATACTGATCTCAGAGAATTCCAAAATTCAAAAATGTCAGAAAAATAATCTAATTATCCCATAAATCAAATTTCATAAAAATTGAAAAAATAATATGTTCATATAAAAGGGGATGATTTCAAATGAATTGCTTAATCTACAAAAGATTAATATTCTTAAAACTAATAATAGCGTTTTCGAGAGCAGTGAGTTTGAACCCAATCAAGATCGATTAACTCAAAAGTACCATAATCTATCTAATTAGGAACTGAAATTTTAAGAATATATATAATGTCAGAACATTAATCAACATGGATTAGGTTCAAACTCACTACATTTGAAAATTCTATAAGTTCTTTCTTTGTAATATTAAATGAAAATCTTTCCAGGTCTGTCAAGGAACATGTCGACACGACGAGAGGCGTTCAAGGCGTTTGAAGGCAGGCGCAACAGCATAATGGCAATGCGCCGGAAGTCGCAGATGCAGACCCTGGGTGCGAACAATATTTATGGCGTGGCGGGTAACCCCCTAGGAATTCAAGGCCGGCCATCCCGCAGTAGTCAGATATCCGTGAAGGATGTGTTTGAGGGACATCCGGCGACGTCGGGAACAGGCCATGTGAACGCCGGCTACGAAGGTGATGACAGCCCCGTCAACAGTCTACGTCTACAGAATCTTGGCGGCAGCCAGGTCACGTGGCGAGAGGTGAACTCCAACGTGTGACCACGTCCATCAGCTCGTTGTTGCGATAAATTAATGAAAAATTTATTTATTCGATGAATTTATTTATCGAAGAATTCATTGCCGAGTTCAATACATATTTCTTCCGAGTAGAATTTCTAAATTCTATTGCACGAAGGTTTCATCGCGCTTCTCCCCAAGAAACACACCAAATTAAGAGAAAGTTGAAATGACTTTATTTTGATGTCGGGAAAGTCAAAATGATGATTTTTTTGTTATGAAATTTAACTGTTACGTTAAAAATTAAAATAAAATCATTTTTTGTTGATTTTGTGTTCCTTGAGTTTTGCAGTTTCCTCTCAATTTTCCTCTTTTCAATACGAATTTCAAGAAAAAAAAGGGGGAAAAATGTTTCGAGTGGATTTGGTGACTTAGGAAATGTGAAAATTAACGCAAGTTCTTAAGACTATTTGAAAATGAGATCTTTAAGAAGATCATGCATTTGCAGATTCTTTATAACGGAAGTTTTTAATATTTAAGCTCCATTAATATTACGCTCCATTAACTATATCTGCAACAAAATAATTTTTATTAATACAAAAAAGAAAGAGACGTACGAATTTAGCTAAGAAAGCACAAATACATTTTCTTTTCACGTTATCTTATCACACTTTTCTAACATTCCGCTCGTTATCTGCTCTTTCTTGTCATTATTATTCCATTTTTGATCATTGAGATCCATAAAGAAATACATTCTGTATCGTAACGTTGCATTAAAGTGTTACCTTTTCTTCTTTTAACTGCACTTTTTATATATATTTTTCTACATTTTTTTCTTCTTCTGAATGTCGGGAGATTTAAATATATTTTTTCCTTTTTTTTTTATTTCCTTTTTTTTAAATACAGCAAAAATATACAATGTAAAAAATGTAGTTAAAAGAAACGAATCTAATTTTGTATTGTCACTAGTAGTAGATAAATCGATGGTGATTTATCGCGCCGATAATCGCGATGATTACGCTTACTCGTTCCGATTGTTTTTGCATATGTGATAAGGCCGATATTTAAAGTAAAAACTTGCGTATGCTGCATGAATGCGTGTGTATGTATGTAAATTGCACGGGCATATATTGAGAATGCATATATTGAGAATTGTGTGTATAATATATATAAGAATAATAATAAAGCAATAGAAAGAAATAGTAATAATATTAATAGTAATAATGACAGATATTGTGGAAGATTTTGAATAAACTTCATTCAAACAGATTGTGTCTTAACATTATTCATCTCATGTTTGATCAAAATAAAATAGCAATTACATCATTTTCTATTATCTGTATATTATCTGTTTATTATGTTACAAAGCTATCTTCATTTATAGTATAATAAATTAATAATAAAAAATATAATTAAGAACGCTAATATTTTGAGAAATATTCATAGACCTGTTTTGTATTTAAGATCTCAGGTGATTTTAATGTTCTATCCAGCTAATCTATGAAAAATAAACATCTCAAGATGGTAAAATAAAAGCTGAAACAACAAATAAATAACTGGATTGAGAAAATAAATTTATCAACGATAATAAATTTATTACGATATTTTAGTTCATTCTTCTAAAAAAAAAAACAAATAATCGGAGATCAAATGTTCTCGATATTACGCTTGAAACTTCATGTCTTCACGTATTTCTGTTTCCATGGAAACTATTATCAAATGTAGAATTTCACTTGTTTTTTTATCGATTAAATGTCATTCAGTCAATCACAATGGACTGCTCAGGGTAACTTTAGAATTCCTAATTCTGCAGCAATATTTTGTATTGGCACGAACTTATCATTGATTCAATCGTTTTCTTCTTCTTCCTTGTTTGGCCAGTTTGGAGTAACTAATGCAGCCAGAGATATCAGTAAATAAAATTCATCAGAGAGCTTTTGACTGATATTTTTTACTGATATCTTTAGCTGCATTAGTTCCGTGTTACTCCTGGCCAAAGAAAGCAGAAGAAAACTAGAGCAATGAAAGGAATCTATATTACTTTGAAGCAAATATCTGCAAATCGCATACATAAAGAACGCTTTTTAAAAATAATAATTCTAAATATAATAATTAATATTATATATATCAGATAACATGAATGCATATATAAACTATATTATTTCATACCTGCTATTAATTTCGTCATATTTGTGTATACATTTGATAATGCTTTTAATTGAGGCTCCCATGGGTACTTTCTATAGAAGCTATATTTCTATGTGCCAAGATCCATTTTTCTTATTAAAGTGCCAACGTTTCGTGATATATTCATTCTAATTCACTTTATCAGGAACATAAAGATAACTTGCGACACCTAAGCAAAACAAGTCATGAATGTTAAAATGATGTTAAAACGAATGATAAATGATATTTTAGAATTATTTTGATATCAAAATAACTACAAAATAATCAAACAGTTATTTTTCAATCATTTCTGATTCATTTTAATGTCTGATTCTCAGTTTCTTTAATGTAGAAGATTATTAAAGAGATTCTAAAGTGACAAGATTATGATTGACATTGCAGATTGCAAAGATTTCGATTTTTTGTTGCATACCCAGCAAACTTTAACATATAACCGTTACATTTATCAATTTTCCTCCTCAATAATATAATTGTATAACTTATAATATGTTATACGTTATATTGAATGGAAAATTATAACTAACAATTATATTGTTATTAATTGGTGTTTGCAATAGATCGCAAATGACTAATTTTTGTACAACTAAAATTATATTTAAAAAAGATGCGAAACGATTAAATTATATATAAATGAATAATCAGTGTATTTAAAATATTTGTAAAAATTTGAAAAATGTAAATTGCAATTATAAAAATATTTTAAAAATCTTAAATTTAACAGCTTATTCTTTTTAATATTTCAAAATTTTTAAATAATGCTTTAATGTGTATATTTTAATTGAAATAATTATATAAATATAAAGAAGTAATAAAACACAAAAACTCGCAAAAATTTTTGTACATTTACAATGGTTAATTTATTACATTCTTTACAATGGTTTATTGGCTAATTTATATTGATTGCAACAAAAATATTTAATTGATTAAAGTAAAGATTTCTCTTTTTGATTTGTTACTAATTAATACGCTGAAAAAAATGCAAATGTAATTTTATATGAAAATTACATATATTGTATATGACCAGAAAATTACCTACAGGAAATTTTACATATTAGGCAGTACGGGTTGCGCAGCAAACTTGGCAGGGGTGATTAAGTAGGTAATGACGATGATTTTATAATATAAATAATAAAATTTTATAATATAAAGTCATTATCTACATAACTATGCCTGCCTCTGTAAGTTTTTAGTATCTGCAACACCTTGTACTACATTCATTGTGTCGTGTAACAGTACATTATTTTTAAATGTCATTTATCAAAGATCTATACTTTATGTACAAAAAATAACATCCCAGTAAACTAGAATGAATTGAAATTTTAATAGATTGAAATTATATGTATAAAATATTTATATAACAAATTATATTTCAAAAAATGAATAAATGTTTATCATAAATATTCTGTGCTGTTCGGGTTGGATTGAAAAACTGCATTTCATATTCAGAATTGAGCAATATTTAGGATGCAGAAAAAAGCTGATATTATTTTTAGGTTGAAAGCAGAAAGGTGCTTCATACAATTCTTATAAATGAGTAAAAACGCATTTCGGATTGAAAAGAATTGGTATAAAATTTAAAATATTTATTAATTTACCAACAGTACAATATATTATTCATGGGACGTTTCAACTTAACTTAGTCATCCTCAGCCATAAATTAACTTACCACAATAAAATTATTTTAAATACTACATAAAAATTAGTTGTCAACTAAACTAAGTTATAAGAATCATCTCATCTTCATGTATAAACATTAAAAAGCATTCTAGTCATATTACACGTCATATTAATAAAAAAAATGTGTAATAGTGTTCAAGTCAATTCTTCGATTGATAGCGAGAAAGGGTATAAAGTCCATGTGATTAAAATGAAGAGAAAATACATTTCAGTCTACAGAGAAGATTGTAGAAAATATTTTAATAAAACAATTGTATATGAAGAAAGGTAGGATGTTTCATAATGTGAAACGTCTTAAAATCGAATGAAAACCGTTGTATATATTGTACACAAAAAATCGATTCAATAAAGATTGAATAAGTGTGTGAAAATTGAATATAAAATTAATTTAAGAATATATAAAAAGCACTTACAGTAATTTTAATGATACGACATAAGAATAACATGTAAAAATTACAATAATATAATTGTGAGATTGTTTAGTATACTAAGCTACAAGACGTAGTTAATGTATATTGAAATTATTAGATCTTCATCGTATGATTAATAAGAATGATTAATAAGTTCGAATGACGCAGTTTGTTGCAAGAGATAAATTAAACATATAACACAAATTGTCGATCCACAATAAACAAAGAAACAAATTAAGTGTTATTATAATTAGAAGTTAAATTTAATAAATAAATATATATATCATTGAGAAATTCTGTGTCTTTTTTCAAATTAATACCATTTTTCTTTAATATGTAATGTCTCTGAAATCAGTCTTTTATTATAATTTGATTCAGATTCCATTATTTTAATGTTCTCTCAGTCTTGAGAGACCTGGTATAACTTATGTAATAATTTGCATATTACACGAACGGAAATAATAATTTCTCATATTTTAAACATCTTAATTTGACTTGTTTAATTGACTTGTTTAATTGATCTGATATAACTTCTATACAATTTGTATTGAAAAGGATTCATTTTAATGTTCATAAATGCGTATTTCTGAATTCATTTCAATTCCATTCTCGATTACAGGGATGTTTTAATAACTACTATTTATAAATAATATATTTATAAATGTGTGCGTGCGTGCATGCGTACGTGCGCTCGTGTCTATGTTGTATAATTATTAATTATTTTGCAAATATATCATTCTTATAGAGAAATAAATCGTTATGTAGACAAGAACATACTTTATTGATAGAAACAAAATGAATAAATTATTAAAATTTCGTTTAAATAATGGCAATGATAGGCGTGTACAGATGCTGGTCTAAAACAATCACATCAATAAAGTTGAACATTGAACCACACCAAATTCTGTATGTATCATAATGTATGTATCATTTTTAAAATATTAATTATTAACATTAATATAATTATATTAAATTTATATATAAATTTAATATAATTATATTAAATTTATATATAAATTATGCATATATATAAGTACGTGTATGTACT